AAAAAAAAAAAAAAAAAAAAAAAAGACACCCCATACCCTCCCAAGCCCTAAACCCTAAACCCTAAACCCTAAACCCTAAACCCTAAACCCTTACAATAGAGTATAATATTTTAACAATAACTTCGAACTCTTGCTGCAGCAGGACAGACTTAAGAGGAGACACCCAAAGAAGTGTCTCCTCTGTTGCAGACTCCATCAATAGTGTCTCCATTTCTTCGCTAGTAAATTCCTCTGTATACACATAAACCCTAAACCCTAAACCCTAAACCCTAAACCCTAAACCCTAAACCCTAAAAAAAAATTAAAAAATTAATAATTTATAGTAAACAATAATGTGTAAGGTTTGGACCTTAAACCCTAAACCACAAACACTTAGGGTTTAGGGTTTAGGGTTTAGACCCTAAACCCTAAACCCTAAACCCTGAACCGGAGGAGATACACAAAGGTAAAGGCTGTGTATTTACCTGGCTGTTGTTGCTGTTGCTGCTGCTGCTGCTGCTGCTGCGGTGTCTCTGCATCTTTTGCCTCCTTTTTTATTGCTGCTGCTCCTTCCTCAGGTGTCTCTTCTTCCTGTAGATCCGAATCTGTTGCTGTTGTCTCCCGCTGCTGCTGTTGCTGCTGCTGCTGCTGTTGTTCCTGCTGCTGCTGCTGTGCTGCTTCCTGACGCTTCCGCTGCAGCAGCAACTTTAGCTGCTGCTCTAGCAGCAGCAGCAAACTTTTAAGTCCGTCTTTTGCTGCAGCAACAACAGCATCTGCTGCTTCTGGCATTATTAGTCTCTTGCTGCTGCTGCTGCTGCTGCTGCTGCTGTTGATTATGCTGCTGCTGCTGTTCTCTCTATTCAAGGAAATACCCATCAGGAATACATGCAGCAGCAGCTGCTGCTGCTGCTGCAGTGTATGCAACTCCTCCCCCTTAGCAGCAGAAAACAGCCGCCAATTTGCTGCAGCAGCAAACCCTCAATCACAACAAATTAGGGTTTAGGGTTTAGGGTTTAGGTTTTGTTCCCTAGCCGTCTATCTCTATGCTGTGTAAGGGTTTACGTCGCAACAAGGGATTAGGGTTTAGGGTTTAGGGTTTAGGGTTTACCTTCGGACTGTGCTAGTCTCTTAGCTGTTTCTACAAGGACAGTAAGAAGAGACAGTAGATGATCTGTTGCATCTGCTGCTGCTGCTGCTGCAGCAGCAGCAGCAGATTGCTGCGTGTCTCCTAATTCTCCCCTGTCTCTGTTGCTGCTCTTAGAGACACTTTGTCCCTTCCTGCTTCTTTTACGACCTTCAGTTACTCCCTCTTGTGCCTCCTGCAACATAAACCCTAAACCCTAAACCCTAAACCCTAAACCCTAAACCCTAATTTGGCATTTTGTAGGTAATTTGAAGTGTATTTTTTCCAGATTTTTTGCTGTTTATGATTAATTTAGGGTTTAGGGTTTAGGGTTTAGGGTTTAGGGTTTACGAGTTGATGCTGATGTAGTTGCTTAATAGCTGTAGTAGACATCCAATGTATAGAGAATAAACAAAGAGAGAAAAGAGAACGAATAGGTCTTGTTATATTTACTGCTGCCCTTAATGCCTTAACAGCATTGCTGCCTGTCTCCTCTGTGTCTCCTTCCTGCTGCTGCTGCTGCTGCTGCTGCTGCTGTTGGTGGTGGTGGTGGTCTTGTTGGTCATCATCGTCTTGCTGCTGCTGCGGCTGCAGCAGCACACGCCGCTGCATCTGCAGCAGCAAATCTAATCTTCCTTGGGGTCTATCCTCTGTAGGGAGAGCAGCAGCAGCAGCACAAACTGTCTCCCCTAGCTGCTGCAGCAAAGCAGCAAGTTGCTGCTGCAGCAGGGGCTGTCTTGGACCTTCAGGGCCACGTAGCCAACACCTATATATACATATACACATATTCAGGTGTATAGGCACCTATTTACTCAGGTGTATAGGCAGCAGCTATTTATATTCAGGTGTATAGGCAGCAACTCTTTATTCAGGTGTATAGGCAGCAGTTCTTTATTCAGGTGTATAGGCAGCTATGTGTTGGGGTGTATGCGCAGCTTACTTAAGGAGACAAAAGAAATCATCAAAGTTGGATTGTGTAAGAAATTCAAGGGCACGAACTTGTGGCGGCTGCTGCTGCTGCTGCTGCTGCTGCTGCTGCTGCAGTGTAAGAAATTCTTGCTGCTGCAGTTGCTGTTGCTGCGGTGGTTGTTGCTGATGCTGCAGCAGTTGCTGCAGCTGTCTAAGAGTTCGTTGGAAAGCCCCATCCTGCATGCATTCAGCTGTCTGTACAGCAGAGAGGGAGACACGTAGATCTGTTTGCTGCAGTTCCCTAAATGTAGGTGTCTCCTCCCTTTGTAGGGACAAAGGGTCTCCTGCTGCAGGTAAAGAAAAATTATATAATGAATCCATCTTCGGGTGTATAGGCACCTCTTGTTGCTGCAATAGAGGAGGGAGAACAGCAGCAATGCATGCAGCACAATAAGACAAAGAAAAAGAACACTCTTATGTTGTTGCTGCTGCTGCTGCTGCTGCTGTTGCTGCTCTTGTTGCGGTGTATACACACCTTAATCTATAGCAGCAACTGGGTAGCAACTTAAGGAGCTGCAATAGAGGGAAAGAATGATGCTGCTGTTGCTGCTGCAGATGCAGCAGCAACAGCAGCAGCTGCTGCGGCTGCTGGCGACTCTGCTGCAGCAAGAAAGGGGAGTTATGCTGCTATATGTATAAAATAGGGTGTATATGGAGGTATTAAGGATAAAAGAAGGAAGAAAAGCAGCAAAAGAAAAGGAAAGAAAGAATACCCCCCTCTACCCTTGTATTATGTTGCATGCAGAGAGAAAAGGAAGAAAAAAGACCCCAAACACTTCAAATAACAGTCAAATAGGGTTTAGGGTTTAGGGTTTAGGGTTTAGGGTTTAGGGTTTAGACGAGATCAGGGTTTCAATGTACTTACCCACAAAGGAGGAGGTGGTGTTCCCTCCTCTTCTTGGGGCTGGTTGGAGGGCCCCACACCATCAGGAATAAACACACTCCCTCTTTTTTTGCATGCATTTTATATAAACCCTAAACCCTAAACCCTAAACCCTAAACCCTAGTTCGTTACACGTTCCAGCTGTGCGTACACCTCCCCTCCTATGCCCAGCAGCCGAGGGTTTGTCTTGGAGTGTTTGTATGTCGGCCTCTGCAGAAGATGTAAGTCTTCTTAGACTAGAGGGTTTAGGGTTTAGGGTTTATAATTTATAAATTAGGGTTTAGGGTTTAGGGTTTAGGGTTTATGGAGTGTATGTGTGTACAGGAGGTGGAGGAGGCGCTTAAGGGTTTAGAGGATGTAGCTGAGCAGCTGCAGTCTTTGCTGCACTCCGTCTGCCGTAGGGCAACGGCAATAGGTAAGGGTTTAGGGTTTAGTGTCTAGGGTTTAGGGTTTAGGGTTTAGGGTTTGGGAATTAGGGTTTAGGGTTTAGGGTTTAGGGTTTATTGCGTGCAGCTAGCACGGCGGGTTTTGAGTCCTTCCCCCCAGAGGAAGGGGAGAAGCGTTCTGGTGGGGAAGAAGCAGCAGCAGCAGCAGCAGCAGCAACAGCAACAGCAGCAACAGCAACAGCAGCAACAGCAGCAGAAGAAGCAGCAATAGCAGCAGAAGATGCAGCAGCAGCAGCAGCAGAAGCAGATATAATTAGGGTTTCTGTAGATACAGCAGAAAATATACAAAGGGTTTTAGCCAATAAAGATACAAACCCTAATTTTACTCAGGTTATTAAAGTATGCTCTAAACCCTAGTAAACCCTAAACCCTAAACCCTAAACCCTAATAAACCCTAAACCCTAAACCCTAGACGTTAGCAATCTTTTTGTGTCTCCTTCTTAATTGTCTCTTTTTTTGTCTCTTTTTTATTATTTGTCTCCTTTTCTTCTTTTCTTTTCTTAATTTGTCTCCTTTTTCTCTCTTTCCTGTCTCCTTTAACTAATGCTGCTGCTGCTGCTGTTGCTGTTGCTGCTGCTGCTGCTGCTGCAGCAAATACTTCTTGGTAGCGAGGAAGGTGCAGCTGCAGATACACCCGAAGAAGATGTGTGCAGTATATCTGTTGCTGCTGCTCCAAGGAGACAATTAGCCGCAGCAGCAACAGCAGCAGCAGCAAAGTATAGACAGAACAAGAAAGCAGCACCAACAGCAGCAGCAGCAGCAGCAGCAACAGCAGCAGCAGCAGCAGCAGCAGGACCTCGTCTTGCAGATCCAGATATTGTATTCTTTAAGTGTCCCCTTACACAAGAAGAATTTAAACATCCTCTCTCTCAACGGTCAGCAGCAGCAGCAGCAGCAGCAGCAGCAGCAGCAGCAGCAGCAGCAGCAGCAGCAGCAACAGCAACAGCAGCAGCAACACGTGCTCCTGCTGCTGATGCAGTGTTTGTATAAACTTTTATTATTTGCCTCCCTTTATGTTTCTCCTTTTTATTTGTCTCCTTTTTGTCTCCTTTTTATTTGTCTCCTTTTTGTCTCCTTTTTGTCTCCTTTTTTGTCTCCTTTTTATTTAGGTGTAGTGTCTCCTCTTCTTCTTCTTCCTCTTCTTCTTCTTCTTGTTGTCCTCATGTCTTTGAACAAGACGCAATTCTCCACCTCCTGTAAGAATTCACCTTTAATTAGGGTTTAGGGTTTAGGGTTTAGGGTTTAGAGGGTTTAGGGTTTAGAGGATTTTGAGGGTTTAGGGTTTTGAGGGTTTAGGGTTTAGGGTTTGTGGGGTTTTGTCCTGTTATGTGTACAGCAAAGACAAAGAATCGATTCCCTGTCCCTTCGCTGGTGTGTCATACACTTGAGGGTTTAGGGTTTAGGGTTTGGGGTTTAGGGTTTAGGGTTTGGAGGGTTTAGGGTTTGGAGGGTTTAGGGTTTAGGGTTTGGTGGCATTTTATTAATTTGTCTTTGTATTTATCTAGTGTTTAGGGTTTATTTACTTATTTATTTATACTTATTTATTTATATTTATTTATTTATTTATTTATTTATTTATTTATTTATTTATTTATTTATTTATGTATAGGTTGCCGTGGTGTTATATACAAGAAGTCCCTACAAAGAGACATAGAGACAGAAGAATATTTTAGGTGTCTCCTTCTTACCTTATTTATTTATTTATTTATTTATTTATTTATTTATTTATTTATATTCTTTGCTGCTGCTGTTGCTGCTGCTGCTGCTGCTGCTGCTGCTGCTGCTGCTGCTGCTGCTGCTGCTTGTGTCTCTTTTTGTTTTTAAGTGTCTCCTTTAGATAATTAAATATTCCTTTTTATTCTTTTTTTGTCTCTTTTTCTTTCTTTTTTCTTTTTACTATTTATTTATTTATTTATTTATATTTATATTTATTTATTTATTTATTTATTTATTTATTTATTTATTTATTTATTTTGTCTGTGTACAGGAGGAAGAGACTACACGATGCACAAAAAAAACTACAAAAGGATCTCTTGCTGCTAAAAGGAGACACTTCTTTGCTGCCTCTTACTTAGCAGCAGCAGCAGCAGCAGCAGGAGCAGCAGCAGCAGCAACAGCAGCAGCAGCAGCAGGAACTCTCTTTCTTTCTTACGTGTCTCTTTTTTGTGCCTTTTTTTGTCTCCTTTTTGCTGCGCTTGCTGTTAAGGAAAAAGGAGACAAAAAGTGTCTCCTTTTTTCTTTCTTTTTTTTTTATTTATTAATTTAATTAATTAATTAACTAATTAATTAATTTTTTTTTTATATAAAAAAAGGAGACACAAAGAAGTGTCTCCTTTTATTTTCTTTGTATAAAAAGGAGACAAAAAAGAGACAAAAAAGGAGACAAAAAAGCAGACAAAAACGGAGACAAAAAGGAGACAAAAAAGGAGACAAAAAAGGAGGCAAAAAAGGCGACAAAAAAGGAGACAAAAAAGGAGACAAAAAAGGAGACAAAAAGGAGACAAAAAAAGGAGACAAAAAAGGAGACAAAAAAGGAGACAAAAAGGAGACAAAAAAAGGAGACAAAAAAGGAGACAAAAAAGGAGACAAAAAGGAGACAAAAAAGGAGACAAAAAAAGGAGACAAAAGAGGAGACAAAGAGGAGACAAAAAAGGAGAGTGTTGTGTGTATTGTTTCCTTAATTAAAAAAAATTAAAACAAAAACAATTTGTTTATAAAGGACACTCTTGCTGCAGTCACTGCTGCTGCTGCTGCTGCTGCTGCTGCTGCTGCTGCTACTACTACTACTACTACTGCAGCAGCAGCTGCTGATTCTGCTGCAGCAGCTGCTGCAGCCACTGCTGCTACTGCTGCTGCAGACACTGCTACTACTGCTGCTGCTGCTGCTTCAGTTACTACTACTGTTGCTGCAGCTACTGCTGCTGCTGCTGCTCCAGTCACTGCTGCTCTTGCTGCAGTTACTGCTGCTGCTACTACTGCTGCTGCAGCTGCCGCAGCAGCAGCAGGAGCTACTGTTGCTGCAGTCACTGCTGCTGCAGCAGCAGCTACTGCTGGTGTTGTTGCAGCTACTGTTGCTGCTGGTGTTACTACTGTTGTTGCTGCACCTGCTGCCTCTCTTACTGTTGGACCTGTTGCTGCTGCAGTTGCTGCTGCTGCTGCTGCTGCTGCTGCAGTTATTCAACATTGTCTCCTATATCCTCTCCTTCTAGTCCTAAGTAAGAGGAGAGTCCCTCCCATAGAGAAGTCCCCATCCGCTGCAGCATTGTCTCCTCTTGCTGTTGCTGCTGCTGCTGCTGCTGCTGCTGTTGGTAGTGCTGCTCTTCCTCCTCTTGCATCTTCTGTTGCTCTTCTATACGATGCAGTTTGTGCTGCAGCAACATATGCTGCTGCTGCAGCTGCTGCTGCTTAGGATTAAGATACTGCTGCTGCTGCTGCTGCTGCTGCTGCTGCTGCTGCTGCTGCTGTGGATCTGCATATACACCTGGTGTATATGAGTACTGAATAGTCTCTACAGTAGAGGATAAAGAATGTGCATAGTTGCTGCTGCTGCTGCAGTTGCTGCTGCTGCTGCTGCTGCTGTAGTATATATCTTGACCATAAGGGTTATAAGGATCGCAGCAATCAGCTGCTGCTTCTGCAGCAGCAGCAGCAGTAGCAGCAGCAGCAGCAGCAGCAGATTTAGCAATAGGATTAGCAGATATATCTCCTTTTGTTATATAATTAGGAAGAAGGAGACACTTAATTTGTTTATTACTTTTATTTATATAAAAAAAGGAGACAATATTTATTATTATTAATAAACAGCAACAATGTATAGGTAAAAATAATAAAGAGGAGACTATTGATGATAAAATATAACATAATAAACCTAAATGTAATAACCTGCAGCAGCAACAGCAGCAGCAACAGCAGCAACAGCAGCAGCAACAGCAGCAGCAAAAGGAAAAAAAAATATATTTATACAAAAAAATTCAAAAAAAAAAGAGACAAAATTGATAAATATTCGTTAAAAAATTCTAAACCCTAAACCCTAAACCCTAAACCCTAAACCCTAAACCCTAATTTTTTTTTTTTATATACATACTTAAGAGCCATTTGTTGTGTATTATCCATGACTTGTACAGCAGCAGCAACAGCAGCAGGACTGGGGCCCCTTAATGCAAGACCGGGGCCCCATAGGGTACAAAGCAAAGAAAGAAGAAGAATTAATAACATTATACAAAAAGCACAACCTGTTGTTATTACATGCAGCAGCTGCAGCATAGACGATGCCTCTTCTGCACCTGCAGCAGCAGCAGCAGCAGCAACAGCAGCAACAGCAGCAACAGCAGCAACAGCAGCAGCAGCACAGGGAGCAGCAATAAGAGGAACAGCAATAAGAGGAGCAGGAAGGGGAGCAACAACAGCAGCAGCTACAACAACAGAAGGAGCAAGGGAAGCAGCAGGAAGAATAGCAGCAGAAGAAACAGGAGCAGCAGCAGCAGCAAGAGGAAGAACAGCAGCAACAGCAGCAGCAGCAGCAACAGCAATAGGACAACAAGAAGACAGCAGCAAAACAACCACAGTAGATCTTCTGCTGCTACAACAGCACAACAACAACATCAACCAGCAGCAGCAGCAGCACCTGCTGCTGCTGTTGCTGTTGCTACTGCTGCTGCTGCTGCTGCTGCTGCTGCTGCTGCTTACTTGCTGCTTGTACTAGTGCAGCAGAAGCAAATCCAGCTAATAAAGAAGCAATCTTAGTTATACGACTAAATACAAGAAGAAAATATTCAATTTCCTTGAATTGTATACATACACTTGAATAATTTAAATCTGTTAATACTAATGCTTTATTTGCTTGTAACATCTTTATAAACCCTAAACCCTAAACCCTAAACCCTAAACCCTAAACCCTTTTTTTTTCTGCACAAAAAACGAATGTTTTATGACTTTTCTATGATTTTTTATAGTTTTCCTGCTCCTGCTGCTACTGCTGCTCCTGCTGCTGCTGCTGCTCCTGCTGCTGCTGCTGTTGCTGCTGCTGAGGAAGAGAAGGAGGAAAAGAAGGTATTTATATTTATTATATAAATAAAAAAAAAGAAATAAAAAAAGAAAAAAAAAGAAAAAAAGAAGAAAATAAAAAAAAAGAAAAAAAAAAGAAATAAAAATAAAAAAAGAACCAATAAGAGGACCACCGGATAAATAAATAAATAAATAAATAAATAAATAAATAAATAAATAAATAAATAAATAAATAAATAAATAAATTAATAAATAATAAATAAATTATATAATAATAAAGAATAAAAAGAGAGAAGAAAAAGAAGAAAAATAAATTCTTTTTTTTTTTTTCTTCTTCTACCCTTCAGGTGTAT